TCCCCTGCTAGGTTCTCCGCAAATTGGCTCCAGAGCAGGCATGTGGCAGCGCCTGACGCACGGTCAGAGGGGCTCTGCTGCTGCCTCGGCACTGAGGTCATTGCGCAGGGACAGTTCAGGACGGTCGGAAGTGCCTGCAGTTCATTCTGTGAGAAGACGTGCTCAGCACCTGGTCCTGGGTGGCCCTGTTCCACGGGGACTTCCTGGGGAAACCTCCATTTCTAGGCGCTCCCTCACTCAGACGTCTAATGTGTGCTCACGCGGAAACAAAAGCTTTGGGCCCCTCCTCCCCGCCCCCCGCGGAGTCCTCAGGGCAGTGTTTCTGGAAGGCGGTGGCCCACAGCGGGGAGCACATGCAGTAGGAGGCTGCGGGCGGCGGGGCTGGGGCGGCTCTGTGCTCCGTGGGAGACGAGCCGTGTGCATCACGGGGCCCACTTGGCCACATGAGCAGGCGTGAACATCGCTCTGTGCTCCGTGGACACACAGGAGAGGGGGCAGCTCTGCGACCCTGCGGTCATGCGCTTTTGCTCCTGTGGCTTCTGGAACTTTCACAGCCTTCACTTTTGTACCTTTTTGAGTTAATTTCAGCATCACTTGTTAAAAGCACGTTCTTTCTCTGTTGAGTTACCTTGGGCTCTTCTCAGACGTCAGCTGAGTGCCTGCCTGGGCTCCTTTCCGGACTCCACGTCCGTCTGTCCCCGGCAGCACCAGCACCGGGAGGCCTGCTCTTCCTCCTCAGACGGCCTTGGCTCTCTTACTGCCTTTGTGTTCCCACATCTGTGCTTTAGAGTCTGGTTCTCAGCTGGCCGCACAGCCCCGCTGGGTTTGGACTGGGGCCGCAGTGCCTCTGTAGGTGAATTTGGGGGACTTGTCATCGTAATGATACCAAGTCGTTTGGTCTTTGAACGTGGCCCACCCATTTGTTTGGGTCTTTACTTATTTATTTATTTATTTTTAAATATATTTTATTGCTTTTTTACAGAGAGGAAAGGAGAGAGAGATAGAGAGTTAGAAACATCGATGGGAGAGAAACATCGATCAGCCGCCTCCTGCACATCTTCTACTGGGGATGTGCCCACAACCCAGGTACATGCCCTTGACCGGAATCGAACCTGGGACCTTTCAGTCCACAAGCCAACGCTCTATCCACTGAGCCAAACCGGTTTCGGCTGTTTGGGTCCTTAATTGTCACAACATCTTGTGTTTTTAGTAAATAAGTATTACACATATCTTACAGATTTGTTCCCGGGGAATTTTATGTTTTGTGATGCAATTTTAAGTGGTCTTTCCTTTCCCATAGCGTGTGGTAGCCCATAGCCACGCAGGTGGCTTTGTGTGTCGGCCTCATAGGCGGAGACCTTGCTGAACTCGCACGGAAGTCCCGGTGGCCTTTCTGTGGTTCCTTAGGGGCGGTTTCCTGACACGCGCCCGTCTTCTCTGGTTTGAAAGAAGTTTCTGCACATCAGAGGCTCTGTGGGCACCTCGAGGGTGCAGCGTCGCCTTGGCCCTGGGATGAAAGTAGGGGCCTGAGGTCTTCTGGCCACTGACAGCCGTGCAGGCCTAGCCGATGCTCCAGCCGCCAGCGAGCTGGAAGCCGTGAGCGGGCAGGCAGGCGTTGTAGTTCTCTGCCCCTTCGGTTTCCCATTGGTGCTCACTGTCGCTCAGAGGGGCCACCAGGAGCCCGTCTCACACAGGCACCCGCATGGCGGCTTGCAGTCCTGCTTCAGAACCAGGACCAGGCCTCCCACTGCAGTGTTTACAGTGAGCTCGCTGCCGCCGGAAACTTGTCAGTGCATCTGTCGCTCCTTCTAGACGACGCAGTCTGTCCAGCACGAAGTCCCTGAGTCCCCAGATGTCTGGAGAGGAGGACACCGAGCTGGCATCCAAACTTGGGATGTGCAACAGAGAAATTGTCCGGCGAGGTGCGCTCATCCTCTTCTGTGATTACGTGGTAAGTGTGGACGCGCGAGGGGGGTGGGGCTGGAGAACATGGCTTCACACTTCACAATGTATACACATCAAATCATTATAGTACACCTGAAACTAACACTGTACATCAGTTATCCTATATAATAAAAGCCTAACATGCTACGTGTCCAGTCGTCCATTCATCAATCAAAGTGTAATATGCTAATGATATGCTAAGGCTGCTCAACTGCTTGCTATGACGTGCACTGACCACCTAGGGGCAGACACTCTGCAGGAGCTGCCCCCTGGTGGTCAGTGTGCTCCCACAGGGGGAGCTCCGCTCAACCACAAGCCTCCCCAGCAGCACTAAGGCTGTCCAACTGTGGCTCCCAGACTGCAAAGGGGCGCAGGCCAGGCTGCCCCCCGCCCCCTCCCAAGTGCACGAATGTCGCTCACCAGCATTCTTGTCATATATAATGCAGGTGTATTCCAAATTGATATTTCTCATTTTCTTATAAACCTTAAGTGAAATGCCTCCCTTTCTAGTTGACATGTGGGGTCCGTTCATAGTTTGGATTCAGGAATTCTATTGAAACTGTGACAGTTATAGGGAGTCCTCTTCCCACTGACCTCACGAAAGTGGAGCGAGTCACTGGGAGGACCCTTGGCCGGCCAGACTGGAGCTTGGGGAGCGGTGGGCGTGGATGGCGTCCGGCTTTGGGCAGGCACTGTGAGGGCAGCGCTCACCCCCTGCCACTGACGCCCCACCTGGGCCGCACTCTCCTCCCGCCATCGGCTGGTGTTCCTTGGAGCCCCGGCTGGTGTCCCTTGGAGCCCCGGGTCTCCCTGGAGCGGTCTCGCCGCAGTGTGAGGTTGGGGGGCAGGCTCTGTAAGGCGACCCCTCCCTGCCCGTCTCTGGCGGGCAGGCGTGGCTGTGTTGGGTGAGGACTGCGGTCGGCCTTGGCTCCCCCGCTCCGCTGGCCTGCGGTGGCTCTGGCCCGCTCTCCCGGAGCCTGAGGGCGGGGCTCTGGCGTCCCTCCGCAGTGTCAGAACCTGCACGACTCCGAGCACCTGACCTGGCTCGTCGTGAACCACATCCAGGACCTGATCAGCCTGTCGCACGAGCCGCCCGTGCAGGACTTCGTCAGCGCCGTGCACCGCAACTCGGCCGCCAGCGGCCTGTTCCTCCAGGCCATCCAGTCCCGCTGCGAGAGCCTCTCGGCCGTGAGTCCCGCCGGCTGGGCGGTCCCTGCTGCCGCGCTGCGGTCAGTGGCACTTTGATGCCCATTTCCCCCTCTCCCCCTTCAGCCCACCACTCTGAGGAAAACCCTGCAGTGCCTGGAGGGCATCCACCTGAGCCAGTCGGGCGCCGTGCTGACGCTGTACGTGGACAAGCTGCTGTGTACCCCGTTCCGCGTGCTGGCCCGCATGGTCGACACCCTTGCGTGTCGCCGGGTAGAAATGCTTTTGGCTGCAAATTTCCAGGTACTGAGCCCCAGGCACCGGTTTCCGTCGGGAACCCAGCGGGCAGGCCAAGCAGTCAGCGGTGTTTTCTCCGCGGGCACGCTCTCCAATGGCCGGAGAGGAGCCGCGGGCGAGTGGTTGTCCCGTGTGTCTGACATGGGTACATGGGTGCTTCTTGTACCTCCTCCTCGGCCAGTGATGGCGAACCTCTGAGCTCGGCGTGTCAGCATTCTGAAAACCCTAACTGACTCTGGTGCTGGGTCACATATAGACATGTTTTGATATTTGCAACCACAGTAAAACAAAGACTTATATTTTTGACATTTATTTTATATATTTAAATGCCATTTAACAAAGAAAAATCAACCAAAAAAATGAGTTTGTGTGTCACCTCTGACACGTGTGTCATAGGTTCGCCATCACTGTCCTAGTCTGTCCTTGCTCTGGCAGATGCACCATGTGTGCCTCTTGTGAGCAGACCCAGGCTCAGCGTGTCCTCTGTGAGTGTGAGCGCGGGCTCAGCGTGTCCTCTGTGTGAGTGTGAGTAGGCACAGGCTCAGCGTGTCCTCTGTGTGAGTGTGAGTAGGCACAGGCTCAGCGTGTCCTCTGTGTGAGTGTGAGTAGGCACAGGCTCAGCGTGTCCTCTGTGTGAGTGTGAGTAGGCACAGGCTCAGCGTGTCCTCTGTGTGAGTGTGAGTAGGCACAGGCTCAGCGTGTCCTCTGTGTGAGTGTGAGTAGGCACAGGCTCAGCGTGTCCTCTGTGTGAGTGTGAGTAGGCACAGGCTCAGCGTGTCCTCTGTGTGAGTGTGAGTAGGCACAGGCTCAGCGTGTCCTCTGTGTGAGTGTGAGTAGGCACAGGCTCAGCGTGTCCTCTGTGTGAGTGTGAGTAGGCACAGGCTCAGCGTGTCCTCTGTGTGAGTGTGAGTAGGCACAGGCTCAGCGTGTCCTCTGTGTGAGTGTGAGTAGGCACAGGCTCAGCGTGTCCTCTGTGTGAGTGTGAGTAGGCACAGGCTCAGCGTGTCCTCTGTGTGAGTGTGAGGGCACAGGCTCAGCGTGTCCTCTGTGTGAGTGTGAGCGCAGGCTGGGTCAGCGTGTCCTCTCTGTGAGTATGAGGGCGCGGGCTCAGCGTGTCCTCTGTGTCCTCTGTGTGAGTGTGAGGGCGCGGACTCAGCGTGTCCTCTGTGTGAGTGTGAGCAGGCACAGGCTCAGCGTGTCCTCTGTGTGAGTGTGAGCGCAGGCTGGCTCAGTGGGCGCCACCTGATTTGTTCCTGTCTCTAGAGCAGCGTGGCCCAGCTGCCCGTGGAAGAACTGAACAGGGTCCAGGAGCACCTTCAGAGCCGCGGGCTCGCTCACAGGTAGGGCTGGCGCCGGTGTCGCTGCCTGTGGGATAAGGGCTTAGTCGTGTGAGGGGTAGACTCACAGGACGGACGAGAGCTGTGCTTCCAGGTGGCTGCGGAGGGCTTGTGGGGGGCCACCTGCCTCAGACACAGGCCTCGCTGTGCAGGATTGGGAAGGCGGGCAGGGCGCCTCTGCCGCTCTGCGGGGGGAGGGCGCTAAGGGAGGGCTCGCTCCCCTCGACTGTGGGGCAGCCGTGCTCCCAGTGGCGGGGCTGGGTT